CTTCCAAATTCCTCTTCCCACTCCCCGCCCCCAGTTAACCCAGCGCCAAGCCCGCCAACTCAAGAACTGCCTCTCCTTCTGCTGCGCCTTTGTGATAATAACAATAACTGTGTAGCAGCGCAGAGGGCTCTCTGTTGAGCCAGCGCCAGCATGGCTGGCACAGGGAACCCTCTAAGTCTGTTCCACCATCTCCAACCAATTCCCCTCTGTCTCGGCTGGCCCTGGAGCATCACAGGCATTAAGGCTGCTATCAATGTGCTCAGCAGCAGGGGCCATCGCCACCACTCTCACACTTGCTCTATCTTTTCTCTCTCTCTCTCTCCCACTCAATTCTGAATCCATTTTATGAAATGTTGTATTGGCAGGACAAATAATACCTTGTTCTTCAAAATGTCTCCTTGCCTCCTTACTTTCTCTTTGTTTTTTCTGCGTTGCGTGCCTTATTCTCCTTTTCCATCTCCAGCAAGTGGAATCTCAGCAAAACAAGGTGATGGCCATCAGTGTGGGCAGTAATACTTTTCGTGAAGTGCATTGTGATACATCACAAGCAGAGTAGAAGCATATTAGAAGTAAAGAATCACATTTACTCTCAGTTATCAGGGATATAGAAGAAGGTAAATCCACCTAAAGTTAGTGTGACTAGTTTTAGGGCTCACATAAATCTGACCTTATAAAATTGATTTTCACCACCCAAAAAGCATTATTTGTATTTACTGTGTCTTCTTTTGAGAAATTTTGGGTGAGTAAAAATGTCAACAATAATAACAGCAGTTAGGTGATAGATGATCATCTTAAACTGTTATTGGAGGTTTAGTTGAAGTCCCTGAAACATAGCAAAGGAAGAAATTTGAATAATCCAGCCATCCATTATCAATACTGCTTATCCTAACGAGGGTCACGGGGGGGCTGAAGCCAATCCCAGCTGACACTGGGCCAGAGGTGGCGTACATCCTGGACAGGCCACTAGTCTATCACAGGGCTGACACTTGGAGACAGACAACCACACACACCCACACTCACTCCTACGGGCAGTTTAGAGTTGAAATTTGAATAATTAAATGTTAAAAGTTTTAGGTTTAGGCATTATTTGACATCACCTCTTTCCAGCAGAGCATCACTCACTTCAAACCAGGGAGAAGAACACAGACAAAACACAAAAATACAGACAATCTCTCATAATAACTGAAAAAAAAGCTGATTGAAAAAACAGGTTTTTAATAAATCCGCCCCTTGGCACTGTGCAGGACATTATCTTTTGTCTTATACAGTTCTACACAGACCTAAAACTGAGCCTAACTTGACTCATATTGTACCTGAAGCTAAATTCTTTTCTTCCTTTCGTCTGTTACTGACAACCAGGCTAATTAACTGCACTGGCTACACAGAATATCACTCCTTATAAAGTGTATTGTATTTACTTTGTCATTTATTTGAGTGTCAAATTGTGATCTTTATTCCTTATATAGTAACATGAAACAACTCCATAGCAGGACTTTTTGCTTCCAGCTCCACAATGCAATGAATTGTATTTAATAAATGCAAAACTTACAGTCATGCACCTCTGCAGCTGTAGGTAAGGATGCCAAACCATAATGATTTATAAGTGTATGTAGACTCAATTTGCCACTCACTATTGAGTGTCTGTTATAAATGGAATTGTGAATAAGTGACAGTGGTTTTGGGCACAGCATCGGTCTTTTTCCCTCTTCTCACTGGGCAGTGTGCATGTACTGTCAATATACGATAGAATGGATGCAAACAGTTAGCAAAGTCAGAGACAAAGAAAGACATTTCCTAATAATTTTATTTGAAATAAACTCAAGACCATAAAACACCTCAAACCTGACAAGGAGAAGTCTACTATACCGTTATAAATCTGTGTGAGTATTATGTACCTGTTTTAACAGAGGTCTGTGTGGACACGCAGCTTCAGACTGATCCAAATGCTTCCCAGAGAGGAGTATTCAGGAGACGTTCTATAGCTGCTCACAAACATTTGCGGCCATCTCTCAGGTGTTGGACACCTAAACAAACTCTCACCATGTGACAAATAGTGTAACATTCTCATAAGTGGAAGACAAAAAACAGGATTTAATGCTTTTCTCAATTTCTAATTGATCCTCATGGGCATTACTGCTTGTTTGCTGTATGCTCATTATATCACAGTCTGATTACAACAATCATACGCCCACACTGTGTCTTTAACATGCTGCTTTGTGAAGCCTTCAGGTAGAGTCAGTGAGCTCCTGCCTGCCTGGCGCTGAATCTGTGCACAGTACAGCCTGCAGACAGGCCACAGCTCCACACATCCATTCCCACGCAGAGACACTTGTGAAATGAACATAACGTGTGTGTGTGTGTGTGTGTGAATGCATACCCCCCAATCACCACCACCATGACCACCTACAGAACTGAACTCACTTCATATGACCAAACACAGCCTCCCACCTCAGAGGCAATAATAAACATGGCCAAAACACTTGACCGCAATTACTGAACCACAGTCAAAGAAATCCATACATAATCATCATGGTAACCCTGCTGCCAGATGCTTAAGCAACACTTTGTGTGCGTGTGTGTGTGTGTGTGTGTGTGCGTGACTACAATCATAAAAATGCCTACACTACCACTGGAGACAAGATGGCACGTGAACGTGTGAAAGAAATCCAATCCACCACTGTAGCCTTAGCGCTTGACAGTAAAACAAATGAGTGACACCTCAGCAATGAGTGTGTGCAGTGCACATCTGTGTGTGTGTGGTACTATGAAGCTGGAGAAGCCGCTGGCCCAGATGAAGACAAAGAGCCCAGCGGCTGAACTGAGCAGCAGCTCTCAGACAGGATTACACAACAGCTCTTAAAGAGTGCTTTTAATAGCAAGACTGACTGGATCTTATTTCCTTCCCACTCATCCAGCCATCCATCCATACACCCCACCCCCCACACACATACACTGAGTCTAAGCAGAAACATACAGGTACACAAGTGTGTGTGTGTGTGTGTGTGTGTGTGTGTGTGTGCGTTCATGTGATTTTGTACCTCTGTGCTTCAAATCTCATTAAAATCATTAAAAACACTGCCAACTGGTGCGGTCCAGTCCAACGTGTTCGTCTGTGTCTCCCTTTCTCTCTGTCTCTGATTTTTTTTAGATGAACACTATTATGATTGAATCAAGTTGTTTTTCGCCTTGACTTGGAGCCTCTCTCCACCCAGTCAGCTTCTTTGCCAGACAAACCTATCAAAACCTCCACACAAAACCGGAACAGGAGCAAGCATCAAACTGGGCATCCCTGGGCAGCACAAACAAGGCCCAGGAAATTAAGCCCCACTTTAAATTCAATTTTAAAACCCTACTGTACTATAAAGATTGGACAGGGGTTGTTGCTGCTTTGCTCAGAGCTAAATCAAATGATTTTATTGAGATTAATCTGTCTATAAAAATGATGATGTCACAGTGATGTAATCAGAGTTTCCTCATCTTGAACACTGGATTTTAAAAGACTGAACAGAAAGCCAAACTTGAACACCATACATGCTGGGTTTGAAAACTGTTAACAGGAAAGGTCTAATAAAAAATGTTGTTGAGTTGCATGATGTGAAATGTAAGATCTAGCATTTCAGGATGTCAGCCCATACAAAGGATGACAAATTGGAAATCTGTGTCTGTGCGGGTTTAGTTTTGACCATTCTTTCTCTACATGTTTTTGGTGAGTCCCCCAACTTCATACAAATAAAACACTACACATCTGGAGCTCCCTTTTAAACATGTTTCCTGGCCTTTTTTTTAAAGTGTCCAGATGGAACAATGACAATAAATGTTAAAGCCAGTTGTCAAATTTAACAATAAGGGAATAGTTGAATTACTGCTCTGTTGCAGTTAAGGATGTGGATCAGTTTTAGAAATTCCATTGCTGAGCCTCGTATCCATTTGGTTAAAATCCCAGTGCAGACAAAAGTGCATATGACAAGTGGAAACACAGCAAAACAGATATTCTTTTATTTTACTCTTCCTTTCTGAAAAGGTGTATTCAGATTTTATATACTTTTGTTTAAATATGACTTAAAACCCAGTTAAGATAGTCTTGACTTGGTGTGTTTAATAGAATATTTAATGCCAGGAGACACTGGAACACTGTGTGTACTCCCTGAACTCAAATTCTAAGCAGCAGGGCTGATTTAAGGTATTCATTTTCCACTGAATTTGCTAAAACATTCAAAAAAGTGGCACATGGAAGAAAAAACTGTCAAACATAAAGAATAATATGTGGGGAAACTACATTTTGGGGCTTGGAAACAAAAGACCATTAATCCCAACAAATTTAAGTAGATTACAGCAACCAATCTATTAGATTAACCTCATAATAATTTGAATTTAAGGGATAATCTGTAGTTACTTCTGTTTGCTGTGACACCCCCATGTCATCATCTCTTGTTATTGTCCTTTAAATCCCTCGCCTTGTGCCCTGCTTTCGCACAGCCTGTGCGTAATTCAACGTGAGCGCATGGATAGCAGGGGGCGGGGTGGCACCAAGGTTTATCCCGAGAACTCAAACGGCGGCATGGGTGACGCTCCAGCTGAGGAGCTACAACTCGAGCCGTAGGTACACTTTCTCCCCCTGTATGACCCAAGAGAAAAATATAGTTTGAAACTACACTCTCTGCGAATGCGTCAAAACATTAATTGCCTCTCCAATGGGAAACGTGAAGAAAACATCTCGCTCCGTGTGGTTTTTCCTGTATATAGAGGCTGCAGTCCCTAAATACGATGAACCCAGTGAACCTCACCATGCCCTCCGCCCCTTTCCATACACTACTGTGGAGTGACATGGGAACACGCCACTGGCATAAATTGCTGGAAGCAAGCGCCAATTATGTGGCTTTAAAATATGCAAAAAAACGAGTTGTGCTGCAGACATAGACTGAGGCTAAACACACTGTAGTTTGTCTTCGCCACTAAAACCTTCACCATGTGATCTCAGAAAATACATTCATGTGGCCTACCTTCCATCCGGCTGAACTGTTGCTGTCGCCTTTATCCTTGAAATAAGGAACAAAGCGAACCATCCAGTCATAAATTTGGGAAAGGGTGAGTCTCTTCTCCGGAGCGCTCTCGATGGCACGGGTGATGAGGTCTGCATACGACAGGTTTCCCCATGCGTTCCGCCGAGAGGACTTGGCCTTTTCTCTCGCCTCGGCATGCGGGCACGTTGTACTGCTCCACTTTGACCGATGCCAGAGCCAGACCCCGGGTCGCATCTTCTCCCCCGGGGAAATCCTCTGGACACGGTAGTGGCCAAGTGCACGACCGCGACCGACTGTGAGGCTCAAATTCCGAATCAATATCAACCTGATGCGCATCCATGCCGCTGTTCTCCATCATCATCAGCATGATGATCTCCCTTTGAATAGATGTCAAAACCGGGCAAGGTCACAATAACAAAACGCTTGTCAGTTGTGACGTTTGCCAATGAGTTAAAATGCCCAAAGCCCTTGAACAAAGAAGAAAGAATAGAAATGAATTGTTTCACACACAGAGATGCACAACCAGCATGAATGAGCAGGCAGCTGCTTGGGATATTATCATTCTCCTCAGTGCAACAATGTGGCATCACGTCGGGACAGATGAAGGTGTATCCGAGACATCAACAACAGTATCAGTCTCTTTTCCATGTTAATTGCACTACATAGGCTGCGTGGCTGCATGCAGGACCAAGTGACGGTCAATCATCCATTATGAAAGCCAGACGCACTTGCAGAATGTCTCTGTGCTCGCTCCGGCTGCAGCAACAGTTGATCCTTTTGACAGATGAGGTCCAGTGCAGGTTGTAAGTAACGCTTATCAAACTCCCCACATGAAGTGACTTTAGAATTTTCACCAGGCTCTGGTCCCAGCTTTTACTACCGTCTTTCTGCAGATAGGTTGGTGGCCGACCTCAGCTGAAACTCACGGTGTGCGCAATTACTCCTTTAGAAATAGAAACAGACTCTCGTGAATCATTTATATGAAGCCGTGAATTTCCAGAGAAAAAAGCCCCCAATAGATTTAATTTGGAGCATCTTCCGTGTAACTGCAAACGCGTTACTTGGTAGTAGATATTTCTACCTTTGTCTTTAGCTTTCCGCTCAGATGTCACATTGGTACCGTCTCTCTGCCTATTGCTCTGCCTTTATACAAGCCTGTGTCTCTGAAGGCTTCAAACCACTTAACTGTAGCCTGGAATAAAGTGGAATAAGTGCTGCTTCCATATAATTGGAGCAGCCTGGATCAAGTCACTCCCTCCAGAACAGGTTTCCAGTGAAGGAGGAGGAGGGTGTTTGTGTGTTTGTATGTGTGTGGTGGGGGTGATATTCCCAACAATATAATTTCTAAAGGCAGTGATTTATATAGTCAGGGAAAAATTTTTTGAACCCCAGCTGATTTTGTAAGTTTGCCCACTAACAAAGAAATGATCAGTCTACAATTTCAATGGTAGC